TGGCAAGTTTAGTATGTTGGGCGTACTAGGCACAGGGTGATTCTTAAGCGGAGCCACCTAGTACGCTGGGCGTACTAGCACAGGGTGGAAACCCTAAATGAGGGATGTGTCCCTATTTAAAGAACATGATGGCCTCATTTCTGGCCACCATTTCTAGCCTTCAACCCTCTCAAAACCCTAATATCCGTTCCTCTAGCTTGAGTGTCCATTTGTGAGCTTCCAAGTATTCTTGTGGTACCCTTGGAGTGAAGAAGGAGAATGGAAGAGAATGAAGTTGGAGTCCAGGCTTTGGATCTGAGCTTTTCTATGGTTGGAACATCATTTGAAGGTATAAAGCTCATAACTTTCTCATCATTTTTGAGTTGTACATAATATGGTCCATTTCAGGGTTTTTGGTCCCAAAGCTTGAAGCTTTATGAGTTGTTGAACTCCAGAGCCTAATATCTGTCCCTTTGAGTGTTTTTAATGGAGTGGATTCATAAAAATATGGAGTCTTGGACGTCAAATCCACCCCATGCATGAGATATGAGCATTTTTGGGAATAAAGAGTGAGAGTTTGTGTGTTTGGGACTTCCTCAGCCATGCAAAGGCTTAAAGTCATGAACTTTATGGAGTATGAGCCTTTAGGGAGTCCAGATCTGAGAGTATAGCTATGGTCTTAACGGGTTAAGACCAAGAGAGGGGATTAAGCAAAATTGGGCGTACGCCCAACGTAATTCCAGTACGCCCCGTGTACTGATCTAGTGTCCCTGATCAGGATTTGCGTGTACGCTTGTGTACGTTGAGCGTACCAAGGGAGGTACGCCCCGCGTAACCTTGCTGTGGGCTTTTTGGGCAAAATCTCTTATTGGGCCTGGATTTTGGACTTGTTGTATTAGAGATTTTGGATTAGAGGAATATATAAGTCTTGGGCCCTTGTGTTGGGCATTCCATTTGGATTTAAGTTAAGAGTTGGGCCGTGGGAGAGCCCATTTAGTATTGGGCCTTGGTGGGCCCAATGGGCTTGGGTTATTTATAGGTCGGGGAGTGGACTATCTTTAGACCTAATGAGTGAGAGTTTGGTCTTAGATCTTAATAGGGTTAATTGTGGGTTTTGGCTCAGAGTTAGAGGTTGGTGTGTAGCAGCAGCATTTATAGGAGCTGTTCGTCATCCGAGGTGAGTCTTCTCACTATACTTACCTAGTGTGGGAACCTTTGTGTGACCGGAGGGTCTTATGTGCTTATATTGAGTATTGTGATATCCTGCATTATGTCTATGTGATTTATGTTGGGTATTATTCTGAGCTTGCTGAGTTAGGACCGGAGGGTCCCACTGAGACACATTGATCGGAGGGTCTTATCTGAGTATAGCCATGAGAGGAAAAAGTGAAAGAAAAGAATGTTTTGGGATTATAATGAACATATTCAAAATTATAGGCCCTAATATGAAGGTTCTCGGCCCATTGGGCCCTTCTTATGGGTTCACGGCTCAAAGATGGTGAAGGGATGGGGTTTACGGCCCAAAAATAAGGAAGGAATGGGGTTTACGGCCCAATAGGGCTTGTGAACCCATTTACGGCCCATTAGGCCCATGATAATAAAGTGAGTTATTTTAGGCCCAACATGGCGCAAATGCTATGGTTTGATGAATATGGGTCTATTTAGGGTCCAAATAAGGTTCCTAGACCCAAAGTAATCAAATTGAGACTTTATTGGCCCATTAGGCCCAATAAGAGGATCCTGGTCCATCTTGAGGTGAACTGGGTTATTTGGGTTTCAAACCCACAATTGAGTATTTGAGATGTATTAAATTAGGTTTTGGACTTCACTTAGGAGTTTTGATTCAAATGGATGTTTTTGAGTGAGCATAGAACATGATATCCACTTAGATTACAAGTTTTACAAGAGTTGATGTTTACATGAAAACATAATTTCCTAGCTAAAAATGCTAGTTGTGACAATTTATCTCTGTGATTATGGCATGTGTTGTGTGTTATTATGTTTGTATGTTTATACCGGGCGGGGCCCGATGCCAGGCGGGGCCCGATGCCAGACGGGGCCTGATGTGACATCCCCAAAATCACGGCCAGAAAAGACCGGTTTCATTTATGCTTTTTAAAATAGTTTCAGAGTAAATCATTTTGATTTAAAAGAGTTGCGGAAATTTGTTCCCAAAAACAAAATATGATAAAATAATATTTACCAAAGCATTTCATCAAGAGATGCATTTTCATTATATAACAATATTCGGGATGTCATGTTCCGATAAACAGACCAAAAGCATAAACAACAAAAGATAGACCATACAACAGTTACATATAACAACTGGTCTAATATCAAAAGATCTTGATAAGTCATCCAACTTATGCTCTCGCGCCACTACCTGTAATACAACAAAACTGAGTGGGTCAGGCTTGGGAGCCTGGTGAGCATATAGGGTTTTCAACCCACAATAAATAATTATATTTAGTTCATCAACCAACAATAACCCGATTACCCATTCCCGTTATCCTCACTTTATGTCCCTAAAACAACAACTATTACAAGGGACCTAATCTAGGATTTTCATCGGGACGGACATTACTGCAAAGGGGTTTCCTTAACAATAGATGTCCTAAAGGCAACCATGAGGGGGATAGAGTACACCGGTGAACACATCGTTCACAACACCTACAGGTTATGAGCCTGCTAGTGTTCCATTGGACTGTCTAGAAAGAGTCCGTGGTCGTCATCCATACTCCGCTAGATGACTAGATCAACAACAACATCGAGGTCTCTCATCATTTTATTTTATCACACACCAACTGTCTACCCATGTTCTACCCAACATATTAGTAGATAAAATATATACATTTATATACAGCTTAAAACCTGTACAAAACATCCGTTCAACAACTAGTTCAAATAAACAAATAATATATAAACACATAGCACGTATTTTATAAAGAATACTTCATATCTATGTGTTAGAAGAAAACGAATATACACTCACATGATAACACGATGATCGGACAACACCTCGTCTCTTAAAATAAACTTTTCCGATGGAACCAGGATGTTTTCCTTGAAAACCGGGCCTTTCGCGGGCAGAGTTTCGGTTCGGAAACTTCGCTTCTCGGGATCTTCGGGGCTTCGGGACTTGCTTCGGGGCTCGGGATGATACCGGGGCTTCAGGGGGGTTAAAATAGGGCTTAGAGAGAGTATCGGGAGTGGGAGAGAAGAGATTGAGCAACCAAACTCGGCTGCCCCTTGAATTCTATTTATAGGGCCAGCATTCTGTACTCACGTCGTGAGTTTTAAGTGTTCACATCGTGAGCACAGTAGGTCATTGTGTTCGTCATTCGTCCACTTGCTCTGGAGGACGTCCAGTCTGTTCTCACGTCGTGAGCACTGTGCTCACCTCGTGAGTTCTGACACAGCCTCGAATAATGTGTTCCGAACTTCAGAAATTCATATCTTTCGCATACGAGCTCTGTTTTCGACGTTATTTATATCCACGCGTAGGTGAGATTATGCTCTACAACTTTCATTTAGACTCCGTCGGCTAATTTTGACTTTATTTTTATTATATTATTTTTAGTAGGTCGGGACAGGAAAACTCCGTTATAAATCCATAACTTCTTCACCCGACGTCCGTTTTCGTCTGTCTTTTTATCGTTGGACTACTATCGATGAGATCTTCAATTCTCATTTAGAAAGTTTTGGCTAAATATCACTCGATCTCAAAATCGAACTTCGGGCTGCATACTGCTAAGCTGAAACTTAGAAAAATCATAACTTCCTCATACGAAGTCAGATTTGGGCATTCTTTTTATGCACGCTCTCGGTTTAACGTATTCTACGACTTTCATTTAGATTACTAAGGCTAGATATCGCTCTATCTTATATTCATATTTTACGTCATTCAGCGTCGTGCCGGTTCTGTCGTGAAACTTCGACATGTCATAACTTCTTCGTTATAACTCGGATTTCGGCATTCTTTATATATTCGGAAACCTTGCCACGACCACTACCACATCCTTCATAGATATCGGGTTTATCTAACATTTCATTTTGACGCTTATTTTTATCCTTAATTCATTTAAGCCATATAATTAAGCAATTAAGCATAAAACACATAATACTCAAATAATACATTCTTATTATTTCAAAATGGATTACAAAGGTCAACCTAAACTATCACATCATCATTAATGCCTGACCCAGAAACACGGGCGTTACACCTGATGACTGAAAGATCTGTATATCGAGCGGGGCTCGATGCCGGCGGGGCCCGATGCCGGACGGGGTCCGATGCCGGGCGGGGCTCGATGTCGGGCGGGCCCATTATGTGCTTAATTATGTATGATATGAGGTATCTTGGGGAACTCACTAAACTTTGTGCTTACAGTTTTCAGTTTATGTTTAAGGTATTTCGGTTTTCAAATGGAAGAGCTCGGGATGATTGCAGAGCACACACCACATGTTTCCGCATTCTGTGATTTACTATGATTCGACGATGTTTTGATAAATCTTGATTACCTTGGTTTTATGGAAGTGTTATGTATTAACAATTTATTAATCTAAAAACGAAAAATTTTATGTCATTATTTTTGGGACGTTACACAAGTAATTACCCACAAGAAGAAGACGGGGTGGGGAAGAAGACAACGTGGGTTGTTATTTATATTATTTTCTTTTATTTTTTATCAAGAAATTTTATTTATAGAAAAATATAAAAGAAATTTAAAAAGATATAAAAATCCTTTCATATAGGTGAGATACAACCATGATAAAAATTGAAACTACAAGGATCTTTCCCTAAGATCGAAAAAAACTAAGGTCTAAATATGGTATTCTGAAAAATCATAGGGACTATTTTGTGAAGATTTGTCTTTTTTAGGAGACTACAAGGGCTTACTCGAAAATATTGGATGAAAAGAAGTAGCTTTGGGCAACTAGTTTGAATGGGAGGATGGGAAACAGGCGTACGAGTGACGGAGTATCAAGACACGTAGACCCTTCGCACATATAAACGGATGCAAACCTATTTATATTCCCCTCTTTATTCCCTTTTCTGTTCCGCACCCCCAATCTCTCCCATCGTTTCACCGCCGTTCTCCTCCACCGTTTCCAAGCCCTAAACCTTCCCCAATCTCCAATTCATCATCTCCAAATCCAATTTTCACTACCTAGGGTTTTTCTGTCAGCCAGGGGTTTCAAGGATCCGGGAAATGGCAAGCTCGACGACCAGCACTGTCTATATCCAAGTCATCGAGGACGTCATCAACAAAGTCCGAGAAGAATTCATCAACAATGGTGGTCCTGGCGAAGGCGTCCTCAGCGAACTTCAAGGAGTGAGTGTTTTTTTTCCGATGTCGACCAAATCGGGCGGATTTTTTCTAGTATAGATCTAGTTTTACGGGGTTTTGATTTCGTTGCTGTGATGTTTATTTGGATCTGTTTTTGTGAAATTCATACCGTTTGTTTACTGTTTTGGTGGTTCTGGTATTTTGGTTAGTTATGGGAGTTGAAGATGATGCAAGCTGGGGCTATAGTGGGTCCGATTGACAGATCTGCTGTCGCCAAGTCGATGGCCCCTGGGGCTACATCGAACACTGTTCATGATCTTAATGTTCCATATGAAGGGCCGGAAGAGTATGAAACTCCCACCGCTGATTTACTTTTCCCTCCGGTGAGTATCTGTTAGCTCATAACTTATGCGAACAATTATACCTACATGTACCGGATGCTTGGACTTCTTTATAAGTGGATACCGATGCAATTGTTCATGCTAATTCATTGCTCTGAGAAAATTGCAGCATATAGAAGTTAGGCCTTTGTTGCTTTTAGATTCACTTAGGGTAGATGAGTATATAAAGAATCTCCGAATGCGTGTACATTTCCTGTTCATAATTGTGTAGCTTAGTTATGCGAAAGAGAACAACTTTGTTGAGAGTAAAGAAGGAAACTTGGTTATGCATCCGAAATATCGGGGGTCAACCAAGTGTATTTATGATGAAATATTGGGCTGTCTTTATTTCATTTATTGTTCATACTTTCATGGTTTGTTTCCTTAAGTTTGTTGTTATCTGCAGACACCATTGCAGACTCCAATGCAAACACCTTTGCCTGTTCAAACACCCTTACCAGGAACAGCTCCAACACCTTTACCAGGGACCATGGACAATTACAATATACCTACTGGTGGTACCCCCATTACCCCAAGTGATTATCCTTCCATAAACGAGAATGGAGTTTCAGATGGCAAATCTGGGAGGCCTAACACATACATGGCAAGTGCATCTTTCTTATCCTCTTCATTGCTTTATGTAGAAAATATAGTTGTTGGTCGAATCGTTTCATCTGCATTTTATTTTATTATATTACATTGGTATCTTCATTTTCATTTCAGATGATTATAGGGGTACTCTAATGCCCCCATTCAAAACAAAAATTTCTTTTGTGATTGAAGTTGTAGAGGTTATACATTAAAGTTTTATTTTTTGTGCAGCAACCACCATCTCCTTGGCTGAACCAAAGGCCCCCTCTTGATGTGAATGTTGGTAATGTCTCTCTCTCTCTCTCTCTCTCTCTCAATGGTGATATTAAACATGTATAAATATTTAAACGTATGCATGTATTGTATATCTACCCTAATTTACTAAATCTTTTATTGTTGCAGCTTATGTGGAAGGACGTGAAGATGCTGACAGAGGAGGAGCAGCCAATCAACCAACAACTCAGGTTACCATAGTGATGTTATTGTCATTTAAAAATCTTGTCAGCTTTCCCTTGATAATTTCATGTGTTCAAAGGCAGAGACAAGTTTTGTTGGCGTCTTTTTCTTGTCATTTATTCCATGATTATAAGCTCAACCACTTGTTTGTTTATATGTTCAAAAATAGGGTTTCTAAATACCGATAAGACGAGTTCACTTTTAGCTGACAATCATAAGATGTCAATTACCCAAATGCGTTTGTATCACAATAAATGCAAACATTCAACAACATATACTCATTTAAAGTGTCATTAATGACATAGTCGTTGTTTTCATCCATATAAAAAGAACAATACCCTTTTCTCTATGTGTTTTCAAGAATACCATGTGGCTAATAGTTAGGAAACAACCTTCGCCAATGGCAATATGTTCCTCATATTTTGAAGCATTAGTTTCCAAATGGAAAGATTTGGTGTTTACAATATTGATAGCTACGTGTAGTTGTTTTGCACACTATTATTATCTTGTCTTCTTTTGAAAAGATACTCATACCCCTTTAATAGCTCATTTAAGAAAGATAAGGACAAATATTTCTGACCTATATCGTTTCATTTCATTCTTTATGTTGGAAAGTTGCTTCACCTTTAGAAAAAGTCAACTGAAACTATATTACAAAAGCGGAAACAGGAAACAGAAAATATGTGGTTTGGTTTTGGTCCATGATTGAAGCAGCAAGTCTTTCTTAACGATGGCTGTTGATTAAATCTTGGATATCTTTCTTTTATGTTTATGTTTATAGTGTAATGTAAGTGTTTGATAAATCTTACATTAATTGCAGGATTTCTTTCTTTTATCTGGAAAGCGTAAGAGGGATGAGTTTCCTTCACAATATCGCCCCTCGGGCGGATATATTCCTCAGCAAGATGGCGCAGCTGATAAACTTGAGGTATTATATTATATCTTTTAATTTAATTAACACATCTCATGTTTAATGTTTTTTTTTATTCCATATAATATTAATATAAGATAAGATGTGTTTGTTTGTTTGTGAACTCAGATTGGCGAAGGGAGCAATAGTATTGTTGTTGGTGGTAATAATAGGATTCCTCAACTGGATGGACCTATTCCTGATCCCTATGATGATGCACTCTCTACACCAAATGTAATAATCCTTTTTTTTTTTAAGAGCCATAGAAATGTAGTTACTTGTTTGTTAAGTTAACTAAATGATTTGTTTTGACTTTTTACTTTTGAGTGAAGATCTACAACTATCAAGGAGTTGTGAGTGAAGACTATAATGTAGCCAACACACCTGCCCCACAAGGTAAACTACCTATAACCTATCTTAATTAATGCTTCATCTTCTGGTTTTTAGGAATCTGAAATTGGTATTTTTTTTTTTTTTTTTTTTTTTTTTGTGTTCAGAGCTGCAAGCAGCGACTCCTGCGATGGTGAATCAGAATGATATTTTAGATGACGATGAAGATGAGCCTCTGAACGAGAATGACGATGATGATGATCTTGATGACGTGGACCAAGGCGAGGAACTAAACACACAGCATTTGGTCCTGGCCCAGTTCGACAAGGTACATCACATACATACATACATACATATACATATATTATACTATATACGTAGGCATAAAAGGTACAAGTCTCTAATGCATGATGATGAAACTTGTTGGCAGGTGACTCGAGCCAAGAGCAGGTGGAGGTGCACTCTCAAGGATGGCATTATGCACATAAACAACAAAGATGTTTTGTTCAATAAGGTTTCTCCTCTCTCTCTCTCTCTCTCTCTCTCTTTTTAAAAAAATATATATATTCCCACTGTTGCAAGATAAATTATTGGAGTAATTGTGAAAATTGGTTTCGTGTGTGTTTCAGGCGACTGGAGAGTTTGACTTCTGATTATGCCTGTTGCTGAGTCATGAGAAAAGTATGTAGAGAAATGACTTTGTCGTCTCTTTTAAGAATCCAAAAAAAAAAAAAAAAAAAAAAATGGAGGTGATTGAAGGGTTTTCTGAGTCAAACAGATTTGTATATAAAGTCGGAGAGCTTTTTGTTTGCTTTGGCCCTAGTATTTATGGGCTATCTTTTAGTTCCATGAAAAAACCAAACAAACTACATGCCTTTCATTCATGGAACTAACTAGTAGTAATTCCCGTTGATGATTGTACCTTTTGGATTTTGGTCAACTTTTATATCCAACTCAACTACATTATTTAACTCAACTTTATTTATTTATCCCCTCGTGTTGTGCTTGTGCCCTTGATTCGGGAGTTTATGGATAGATACTACTACTAGTAAAACGCCCACTTAAATCATTATATTATATTTAGATAATAAACTTAAATTGTCATTATTATAATAGAATCTTTAAATAATTATATTTCATATATCAACAAAAAATACTAGAGAAATAGAAAGTGAATTTGTTATCAACCTAATTCCACCCATGTTAATGTATTACGTGTTTTAACTACTACATCATTTTAGCAAAGGTTTGTTGTCTTATGTCTAGCGGTCATGTAGCAACACTTGAATTTAATAATTGCAATAAAATTACGAATAACCTTTTATTTGAATTTTAATAATAGCTTTAATAAGTGATCCATGATAAAGGAAAAGTTAACTCAGGAACATATTGTTTCAACTGATGGATACTGACTATTTCACCAACCCCCTCTACTCCTATATAGACCGTCACACAACATAAGATATTGGTTCACCAAATAACATCATTCAATCACTTTTTCTTTTAAGGAAAAAAGAAAGTGGAAATTGCTTGCATCCAAAAGACAGTGAAATGGAGCAAACTAGAGTGTCTAATGTGTATAAGTTGTGGTTGTCATGCTTTCCGGGAAACCCAAAGATAATGTTGTAGAAGTTACAACATGTCGTGATAGGATCATGGCTATCAAGGTTATAGTGGAGGAGGAGGTGCTTCTAGGACTCATTGGGCAATATGGTTAGAAGTTATTCAAAGGACTAGTATGGTCTTAGGGGAGACTTCAATAGTCATATAGGTATAGAGTCAGATGTGTATTCGGGTGTGCATGGGGGATACGGTTTTGTCACTAGGAATGACGAGGGTCGCTCTCTCCTTGAGTTTGCTACGACTCATGATATGGTGGTCACAAGTTCATGTTTTAAAAAGAAGGATGCACAACTAATCACTTTTCAGAGTGGATGGAATTTCATTCAAAGATGGGGGAGGTACTAGTGGTAGCACATGGAACATCAATCCCTCCGTAACACCCGTTTTCCGAAGAAGGTTGGCCAAAATTAAAGGAAACAAAATAAGGTTTTTGGAGCAAACCCTTAGCTACGACGTGGGGCATGGATGCCCGCAACATGGCGTGAAATTAATGGATTGTGTATTTAGAGGGCCACTACGGCGTGGCAACGGTAGCAGCCCAAACCCATTTTTTTAGGGTTTCTCCCATATTTAAGCCCTTTACCTCCTATTCTAGGCCACTTCTTTCAGCTTCCATCTCCCCATTCTGAAACCCTAGCCTCGTTTCCTTAATTTTGAGGTTGGTGACTCTATCTTGAGGTTGTTTGCTTCATTTGGTGAAACTTGGAGAAGGAAGCGGTTCATTTTGGTGCAAGGAAGCAAGGAGCAAGCGTGGATCCAAGATCTTCTTCAGATTTCAGAGTTGTTGGATGTAAAAAGTTCATACCTTGTCATTTGTTCTTCTTGTTTCTAGTATGAACACATTTTTGGATGTTTTGGTCTCATTATTGAGTGCTCTTGGAGTTTGAGGAACTCCAGAGCTTGATGTGGTGCTCATCTGGTCATGAACTTCTGAGTTAGTGAGAAAAAGGTCTCAGCTTGAGTGTTCTTAACCCCATGTTTGAGTTTTGGTCATATTAAAGACTTAATGAACTTAGGGTTTAAGATCTTGTCTTATGGTGAGGTCCTAATGGATAAAGTTTGAAACGTTGTCCATTAAGTCAGTGTGGATAAGTAGATCTGAAATTATGAGCTTAGATCTAAAAGGATTAAGCTCTTAATGAGAAAAATGGTAATTCTCCAGTGGCCACGACGTGGCGAAGGTAGCCACGACATGGTGAAGTCAAAATTTGCGACTATCTTGTTCTGATCTGGCCACGACGTGGCCAAGGAGGGCCACAACGTGACAATGCCATGCATGTTGACTGTTTGACCTTGTGTTCCCATGACGTGGCAAAGGAGGTCTACGACGTGGCGTTGTCTTTGACCAAATTGACCGTTGACTTTTTAACCAGTTTGACTTAGGGTCAAACAGGAAGGATTTTGTAATGCCCTGTTCCGAATCGTTTCCTAATTCGGGGCTGTGGCCCAAAGACGAGTTATCATCAGGATTAGGGCCTTTGAGGAAAAGAGATTTAGACCCATTTGGTGTGGGTAATGTAATTTAGATGATTCGGGAGTTCGGTTTATGTTTTGGAGCCAAGGGGTATATCGGTAAAGTTTCAGTTCGGGCTTTTATGGAAATTGGATTTTAGTTCGGGAAATTTTAAGGCAAGTATGAGTTGATAGAAGCATAGAGCTTCTCGTTACCTTTTTGTGGATATAAGGATTGTCGGAAACGAACTTATATAGAAGAAGTTATGGCCTTCGGAAGATGGTAGGGTTTATGGCTAACCCTAGTACGCGCGGCGTACATAGGGAGTACACGGGGCATACTAGGGATGAGGATCGTGAAACCCTTGAGGAGTACGCTGAGCATAATGGGAGTACGCAGGGCGTACTCAAGTTTCATGCAAACCGTAATTTAGGGTCTTGGACCCTATTTAAGCTTCTTATCTTATCACCAAACCCTAATATCTTCAGCCTCAATCCCTTTTAAACCCTAGATTCGAACCCGAAGTGCATTTGGTGATTTCTGAGCTTGATAAGTGATTTGTGGGTGTTTGTGGTGAATAAGAAGAAGAAGAAGAACACTTGGAGGAGTGGCTTGAGCTTGTAGATCTAGGAGTATCTTCTTATTTGCAAGCTTTCTAAGGTAAAAAGCTTATACCTTGATGATCATCTAGGTTGGATCTACTTTACGGTGTTTCTTTGGCATTTTTGAGTCCTTTGATGTAAAGATGAGCTTTTGATCTACTCCAGAAGTAGTGGATGCTAGATATAAGCTCCAATAAGGTCTCTTGTTCATAAAAATGGAAACTTTATGGAAGACTTTGGTTCATGCAAGTATTAAGACCCTTATTAAGTTCCTTTTTAAGTGTTGAGTCCCATTAAGGCATGTATAAAGTTGGCAACTTTATTGGTTAAGGCCTTGTCTAGGGATCAGATCTATGTTTTGGACATCTTGGCTTAACCCATTAAGAGCTTAAAGTTGGTTTTGGGCTTCTGAAGAGTACATTGGGTGTAAATAGAGGTACGCTCAATGTAATGCTGGATTATGCATTACTCGTTTGTACTTCGTGCTTCAGGTCTGAGTACGCGGGGTGTACGTCTCGATTACGCAGGGCGTACTCCCCCGTTCAGCTATTTTAGGCCTTGTTGGGCTATCGGGCTTCTGTTTTTTTACCATTGTTAGGCTGTGGACTTTCTTGGTATTGGTCCCATGAGGGTTTTTAGGCTCAATTTGGAAGTTGGGCCATATTGGGCTTTCGGTTGCCATTTTTGGGCTTTTTGTGTAATTAGGTTCGGCCTTGGTTTTGGGCCAAGTGAGAAAAGGGCAAAATGGTCTTTTACCCTTTAGGAAGTTGGTTTATGGAGTGGGCCTCGGATTTTGGGTTTTGGGATAATTATTGATTAAGATTTGTATTTATTGTTAGTTGGCGCGAGGTTATACGGTCCAGCGACCCGAGCAGTCATTTGATTATCAACGGATTGAGGTGAGTTTCCTCACTGTGTTTAGCAGGTCGAAGGCACCAATGCCGACCCATGGTTTATTATATTAGGATGCTAGATATTTGCGTGACTCTTGCATGTGTTATGCGCTTGTATGCTTACCGGGCAAGGCCCGATGTCGGGCGGGGCCCGATGACTATTCTGTATGCTATTATGTTTGTGATTATCGCATGTGTTGTATGATTATATGTTTATATATTTATATGTATACCGGGCGGGTCCCGATGACTGACAGATGTGTATACCGAGTGGGGCCCGATGCTGGGCTGGGCCCGATGACGGGCAGGGCCCATTATGTGTTTATTATGTATGGTATGTGGTATTTTGGGGAACTCACTAAGCTTTGTGCTTACGGTTTTTATGTTTATGGTTTCAGGTACTTCCGGTTCAAAAGGGAAGGGCTCGGCTTGATCGCAGCGCATCCACCCATGTTTCCGCATTATGATGATTTTGGGATTCTACTTTGATAACTGTTTTCTTATAAAGTACTTTTGAATATTTAGAAAAAAAGATATTGAATGTTGACTTAAATATAATCAATATTTTGGTTGATTAAAAATGAAATTTTTACCACATAATTTCTGGGATGTTACAAATTGGTATCAGAGCCTTGGTTTGAGGGATTCAGGCACACTCTCGGGTATGTCTGAACTCAAACTGAGGAATTGATAATATTTTGAAAGAAAAATGAGTTTCTAAAGGATTTTGTAAAAGGGAATAAACTTCTAAAATGATTTTATAAAGACGGAGGGGGTGTGATACGTGCAATCAGTCGAGCTCAAGTAAGTGATTCCCAGAATACCCATACATGTTTGTTATGATATATGTTATGAGAATTGCATGCTAGGACGAGAGTAGGGATACTTTCAGGAATTGCATGATAGATTGACCTGATATGTGATGCCTTGTAACCTAGGAAGCATTGGATGCTATGCTAGATTGGGAATATGTATTGGTATCGGTAATTGCTAAGTGTATGCTTTAAAAGCTGTATACGACCCTATAATGATTGATTTGTCCTTATTTCTTGTTCCTTGTTTGCTTGTGGTCCTAGGGTAGAGTCTTTTATTCGACAGTCTATTTGATCTTGTATTTTGTATAACTTGCATGCATAAAGCAATCGACAGTGAGTGTGGAAATTCCTAGCATGGGTTGTAGTATGTGAGCCTGAATGTTCTTTGGTTATTCTATCGATTGGAGTGCTACTGCATGAATGCTGCTTGCTTTGTGCTTTGTGGAACTCTTAAGTGATGTGAGTTAGCTACTAAGTGAATATGTTAAGTCACACGTGACAAAGGTTGAATAATCTCAGAGTGATGAATTTATCCTATTGTGCAGCTCTCGTTTGAGTCTAACCGTTGTAGGGTTGAGTCTTTTACTCGAAGGATTATCTAAG